CTGGGTAGCAATAAGTGAGTTTGAGGCTACTTCTTACTGAGCAGAAATTATGAGTGGTGAACAGGGGCTTGTAGACTGCAGCATATTGTGGTGTCCTGACCTCGTCAGAGCACAAATGGCACGCGGATGTACTTTCAGCAGAAACCGATTTCAAAACCACAACGCAATTTCAGAGAACAAAGTCTCATAGACCGCAGTGTGCTTGCAGGGCAATGTGAGTGCCAAACGTGCAGGGCATAGAGACGTTAGCACAGCCTTTTATTTGTTAAAATCAGGAGATGATCTGCCGCTCTTTAAATAACCACCATCTGGTGGATTTGTGCAACAAAACCACATCGCTTGTGAGCCCAGGCAACATCAGTGCATTAGCCTGGCTCAGTTTGTAGCACTCCCGCCTCTCAGTCAGAAAGCTTGCGTGTTCAATCTCTACGTCGTGTCTTTGAACTCACATTGTCTAGACCAGGGTGGTCCAACTGGTGGCCCGTGGGCCGTATCTGGTCCGCCCACTGATTTTATCTGGCCCGCCCCTCCATCCATTTCATCTGGCCCACCTGCTGCCTCCATAATCCATAAGTGTTATGTTATGTTTCTGGAAGGGAAAGACCAAAATATTGCTATGGGGCCCACGGACGTTTCTCAAACAGGGCATCCAGCCCTCAGCAGCCAAAAGGTTGGACCACCCTGATCTAGACTGACTCTCCAATGTAGTGCTGGGGGTGCGCTTCATTGTTGGAGTTGTCATCCTTCAGAGGACACATTAAACGGACAACCTAATCCCTCCAAAAAAAAAAACAATAATTAAATTGGTCATTTTCAATCTACGACTGTTTGTGGGACATTGCTGTGCGCAATTGGCTGCCGCGTTCGCCCACAAATATACAGTCAATTCACTTTACAGTGTGTTCTGTGAAGCGCTTTGGGACGTCCTCCCGACGTGAAAAGCGCTATATCAAATGCAAGGATTATTATTATTAACCTGATTGCATTGTTGTGCACAAATTGGCTGCAGCATTTGCCTACAAAATACACAGTCACTAAACTTTACAATATATCCTGCGAAACACTTTGAGACATCCTCCTGACATCTTTTACTATTTTAACTGGTTAGACTCCGTTAGTTACTCCCAATGCACACTCTGGGCTCCCCAGGTCTTGGTTCTTACCAACCTGTGCTTAATACTTTCCGGAATTAAGTAAGCAGAGTGGGTCCCTCCAGCAGGGAGTGTGATACAGGAATATTCCCACGTGCAGGCGGAATACATATGAGGAATTCTCAGTTTGGTTTGCATACTCTCAAGCACGATGATAGGCATTTGCATTGTCAGACATCTGGCTAAACCCCACTATGTTACAATACTGACTACAGCGGAGAAATTCCAGTGGGGTCGAGGTTTAAGTTCATTGTTTTAGGAGTCCTGTAGCTCAGTGGTTAGAGCGCTCGCCTCACAAGCGAGAGACCTGGGTTAGATTCCTGGCAGGATGAAACCTTGGGCAAGTTTCCTTACTCCAAAGACCTGATAATAATCCCGCAAGAAAAAATAAATAAATAATAAATTTGGTCACTTCAGTTCACCACTGTTTGTGGGACACTGCTGTGTGCAATTGGCTGCGGCGTTTCACCCACAAATATACAATCAATTCACTCTACAGTACATCTTGTGAAGCGCTTTGAGATGTCTAGAAGACATGATAAGCGCTATATCAAATGCAAGGATTATTATTTATTTATTGTTGTGGTGTGCAACACTTCAGAGTGTCCAGAATTTCGCAAATTTTGGAATCAGTTATAACTTTGAAGTTTGTTTTTTGTTGTATCTTAAAAAATGTACAGAAACTACATTTTAAAGTTAAGGCTGCGTTTTAGCATTTGCTATGAAATGCTATATAAATAAAATAACAATCGTAATCTTTATATTTAATATAGGGCTTTTCACGTCAAAAGGATATTTCAAAGAACTTCAAAGGATATATTGTGAAGTAAAGTCCTACAAACAGCCACGAAGTGAATGACCAATTTTATTTGGGGGATTTTATTCTCTGTGTGTAACTTTTGCGAGTGTCATAGGTGGATTAGGCAAGCCTTAAACATCTAAGAGGCAAAGACTGGGTTGAATTGTGGAACTCAACATATCATAGTATGAGGATTTCACAAACTACAAAACATCCCATTGCTAATTTTAAGATTATGAGGGGTTTTGTTGAAGTAAATAAGGAGAAACTATTTCCACTGGCAGATGAATTGGTAACCAGAGGACACAGATTTAAGATAACTGGTAGAAGAACCATAGGGGAGACGAAGAGAAATTGTTTTACCCAGCGAGTTGTTACGATCTGGAATGCACTGCCTGAAAGGGTGGTGGAAGCAGATTCAATAATAACTTTCAAAAGGGAATTGGATAGGTACTTGAAAAGAAAAAATTGCAAGGCTATGGGGAAAGTGCGGGAGAGTGGGACTGATTGATGGCTCTTTCAAAGCACTGGCACAGGCACGATGGGCCAAATGGCCTCTTTCTGTGCTGTAAGATTCGATCGTTCTATAAGTTGCCATAGTTCTTCACAAGTCTTTAAACAACACAAGGCACATGTAATTCAGAGCGCTTCCGTATGATTTGTGGCTATGAATATGGTAACGTAAGTCATCTGGGTAATGCTGTTCACTTTCCAGGAGTAACTAAAGTGATTCAGTTAAGAGGAGCGAATACTGAGGGGTGTGATTATGAAATGAGATTCCGTTTCCTTTTCTCTTCAGTGAACAGAAATATTCACTTCATGGTTATTTGCTTTAAGTGGAACTGACTGTATTGGGTTTGCCTATAAGTGGATCCAACCTTAATTGAATTTGCTTGCTCAAGGCTACTTTACCTACCAAGGCTGGTTGCAGTGTTATATCTGCAACTTAGTGCATTACTATTTGCAGTCTGAGTGGTTATCTCAGATGTGCTGAAGCCAGACAAGGCAAGGAGACCCACTTGAACAGTGTGAAGAGTTGGACGATTGTCATTCTGTGCACATTGAATGTAACCTTGGCACAGTCAGTAGCACTCGCTATTAGGAAGGAAGGTGGTGGGGTTAAGCTTCCACTCTGTGATGTAAGCTCACAGCTTATGCTGACACTTTGTGGTATTGTCAATGGTGCCGTATTCAATGGTGTGGTGCTTTGGTTGAGACATTAAACTGAGGTCCTGTCTGCCTGTTCAAGTGGACGTTAAAGATACTGTGGTATTACTCAAAAAAAGAAGGGAGTTCCTCCTGGAGTCCTGGCCAACAATCCCCTGGATAAAATTGGTCACTCACTTCATGACTGTTTGGGGGACATTGCTTTGCACAAATTAGCTGCCATGTTCACCTACAAAATACACAGTCACTACACAGTAAATCCTGTGAAGTACTCTGAGATGTCCTTTTGATGCGAAAGGTGATATATCAAATGGAAGTATTATTAATTATGCAATTTACTAAATATAATAATAATAACTAGTTGGTACAAGGATATCTTCCTGCAAGCTGGACAAGCAATGGGAAGCTTGCCAGAAAGAGTTTGCAAATGCAAGCTGCACATTTTCAGCTGGTTAAAGTTCTCATTGATTATTTTGTTATATTTTCTTCCCCTATTTTCTACTCCGTTCCCTTCTCTTGCCAAAATAGACACGTTTAAAACTATGCGTGGCAAACTGACCCTTAACTCGTTAAAATTCCTCAAAGCTGTAAAGTAGATGTTAAAACTTCACATAACTACTCGTAACTTGTCTTCGCCTTGGCAGTCTGGTAACATTCAACTTAGGTTTTAGACTGAAAGACATAAAACACCATGTGTAAATTGAATGCACATCAAGACTTGTACTCTTTAGAAAGTCCAGAAAGTTCTGAGACTCTGTAAGTGGAAACGGCAGGGGTTCCGGGTTAGTGATCTGCTACGTTAAGTGGAAGTGATTGGATTGAGGAGGTTGCCTTTCACTTTTTTACCCAGCCGAGATTTTGTTAATTTAGCTCAGGTCTCCAGCGTTCCTTAATGACCAATTCCCTGGATGAGAAACGACTTCAGGAATTCCCATTGACTCATTGTGGCGCCAGAGCAGAGATCCCCTGCGGGTCAGAGTGATGCACTTCTGCTTACAGGAAGATATCCCTGCACCAGACCACACTGTTATCCAGATCTAAACCATCACAACTGTCCCAGGGAGTGTACAATCTAACATTAGGCTCCAGCGGTTTCTGGTCAGTGCTACTTTGTTCATATTTCGTCATATTTGGTAATATTAATTCTAAAAGAATTATAAGCCTCATTTGATAAAGCGCCTTTCATATCAGGAGGATGCCTCAAAATGCTTCACGTAATAAAATGCGGTGATTGTGTATTTTGTCGACGAATGCGGCAGCCAATTTTGCACACAGCAATACCACACAAGCAGCCATGAAATGAATGATTAATTTTTATCTGGGGGATTGTTGGCCAGGACACTGGGAGAAACTCCCTTCTTTTTACAACTCGTGCCATGCGATCTCTAAAGTCCACATGAACAGGACCTCAGTTTAATGTCTCATCCTAAGGACGGTACCTTCAATTGTGGAACACCTCCCAGCACTGCATTGGAGCATCAGCCTAAGACTATGTAAGTCCAAAGTACCCAACATGGGTCTTGAACCCATGACCTTCTGACTCAACAACAACAAGATTGCATTTATAGAGCGCCTTTCACGTCGGGAGAACGTCCCAAGGCGCTGGACAGTTGGGTCGGGACCCGAGCAGGGGGGAACTAGTCAGGGTGAGGGGAGGGAAGGGAGGAAGCGAGGAGGGGGTAGAGAGTCGAGAGGGGAGGTGAAAGCAGAAGCGAGAGCACTACCAACTCAGCCAGGCTCAATGACGCAACTTTGCTGTAACTTTGTTCTTTGGTCACTCCAAGTCCAGACCATCCTGAGTTGATTTATACACACAGCGAGCTCAGAACATCTTGATGAAATTGAATATTTCAAAGAAAAAAACATGCTTAAAGACTACTTACTTCCGACTTGGATTGTTACTTCATTCTTCAGGTCTCCTGTCGAATCCTCGTAGCAGCTGTAGGTCCCAGTGTGAGATGAATCCACGTTCCTCAGGATGAGGTTGGTGCCTTGCACAATGACCCGCTCGCTGTGTGCTACGTTGCGCCCATTAAATTGCCACCTCACTTTGGAGTCAATGCTCCCTCCATCGCACTCCAGGGTCACATTGCTACCCATACTTCTGCACTGAATGGCTCCACCTGTGACCGGAAGGAAAATAAAGGGATTTGCATTAGACATAACAGCAAATCCTATAGTTGTTTTTCAGAGTCGGGCAAATTCGCCACCGCATTTGACCTGCATAATACGCCTGTCACATCACATTACAATATAACTTGTAAAGCACATTGGTTCGTCTCAGTGACGTGATAAGGCACTTTATTCCTGAGCGGGGCAAAACCTGAGTCAAGTTTCCTTACTCCACCTCTGGTTTACCTAGCTGTAAGTAGGAACCTGGTTGTTAGTCGATTGGCAGATTGCTTTTCTGGGGGTAATAATTCCGAATTCAAGATCCTCATCCTCACCTACAAGGCCATTCACGGCCTTGCTCCCTCCTACCTCTCCGACCTACTATCCCCCTACCTACCTGCCCGTACCCTCCGTTCCTCTCGCTCCGGTCTGCTCCACATCCCCCGCCCCAACCGCCCTGCCATCGGTGGCCGGGTCTTCAGCCTCTCAGCCCCGAGGCTCTGGAACTCTATCCCCAGTGCCTTCGCTTTGCCTCCTCCCTTTCCTCCTTCAAGGCCGGTCTCAAGACCTTTCTCTTTGATTGTGCCTTTAGCTCCCCTCTCGACTCTCTACCCTCTCCTCGCTCCCTCCCTTCCCTCCCTTCACCCTGACCATTTCCCCCCTGCTCGGGTCCTGACCCAACTGTACAGCGCCTTGGGACGTCCTCCCGACGTGAAAGGCGCTCAATAAATGGAATCTTATTGTTGTTGTTCCTTAAAAATAATAAAAAATAATAATAATTATTTGGTCGCGCAATCCACCCACGACTATTTGTGCGACAATTCTGTGTCCAATTGGCTGCTGTGTTTTGCCCACAAAATATAGTCAATTCACTTTACAGTATATCTGTGAAGCTTTTTGAAACATCTCAAATAAGTGGTAAAGCTCTATATCAAATGGAAGCATTATTATTATTATTACTCCACACGCTTCTGATAACCTAACGGTTAGTAGACCCCAGTTTGGCGATTGGCGGATCGCTTTCTGGGGGTAATAATCACTCTCCCCCCCCAAAATTGGTCACTCAGTCCATGACTGTTTGTGGGACAATGCTGTGTGCAATTGGCTTCTGCGTTTTGCCCATAAAATACACAGTCAATTCACTTTACGGTATATTCTGTGAAGCGCTTTAAAACGTCTCAACATTTTGAGAAGGCGCTATATCAAATGCAAGAATTATTATTAGTAGTAGTATTATTCTTATCAGTTTATCTTTTCTATGTGTTCCAAAACCACATCCTTATTGTGACCTCAAACCACTTGCCTACAAGTGACATGAGACTCACTGGTCTACAGTTCCCTGGCTCTTCCCTTTTCCTTTTCTTAAACAGCGGAGTGACATTTGCCACTTTCTTGTCCCCAAGACAAAGCTGGTATCCACCGACTAATGATATGATAGTCAGAGCCTCTATTATTTCATCATTGACCTCCCTCGGGGTTCTCAGATACATCCCAGTGGGACCTGGCGACGTATCCACTTTAAGCCCCATTAACCCCGTTCTCACCATCTGCTTTTTAACCTCTATATTATATATTATTATAATATAGGCTCGGGATGGGAGCTGAAGAGGGTGCGGCTGGGCGTTATGAAGAACATAATATAAAGTGAATTAATTGACTGTATATTTTGTGGTCTAAGAGCTACATCCAGAAGCGGCCTTTGAACGTGGGGAGGGTGGAAGGGGTAACAAGTCAGATAGAAGCTGGGAAACAGGGTTGGAATAGCTAAAACCTCACCTGCAAAGATAAAGGGAACACTCTTTGAAGCCATAGTGCTGTGGTCATGCTGACCACAACCAAGATGCTTTTGTGTGTGACGGAATGTGACCATTCATTGAGGTTTAAGGCCATGGTATTGTGGAACATGTCACAAGGTCACGACCACACTCCTCTTTAGTGCAAAACCCATAAAACAAAAGTCCGACTCCTCTGTCGAAATTGACAAACGTTTTAAGAAGTGCAAGTATTCTCCCAAGTGAAACATTTTATATAGTAATAAAAATAATAATCCTTGCATTTGATGTAGCACTTTAACATGTCTTCGAGACGTCTCAAAGCACTTCACAGAAAGTGAATTGATTGTATATTTTGTGGGGAAACCCGGCAGCCAATTGCACACAGCAGTGTCCCACAAACAGTCGTGGATTGAGTGACCAAATTATAATAATTATTTTTTTAAGGGATTATTACTCCCAGAAAAACAATCTGCTAATCGACTAACAACTGGGTTCCTACTTACTCCTAGGTAAACAGAGACATGTGGAGTAAGAAAACTTGCCCAATGTTTCGTCCGACCCGGGATTCAAGCCCAGATCCTCTCGATTGCGAGGCGAGTGGTCTAGAGCTACAGGAATAATAAAATGTCATTTCCTCCCCATGCCCCCCAATTCTCCCATTCCTTCCCGCTCCTCCCAAAAAGAGTTTTGAGCATCTAAACAACATCTAAGAGAGACAAGGGGAGAAAATGCGCTTGCTTTAGCCTTCTGGGGCACAGTGCTACAGTCTGGCTCTCTTTGCATTGGGCAATGCAGAAACTTGGCACTTTTCCCATCAATGCAAGCTGTTTCCTTTTTTTGATACTCCAAAACCTCAAAAAACGTCCCGTTCCATCACACGACCCCCTGATTAATTGGGCACAGTAATGAACTGTAATATAAATGCCCAGGTCAACTCACTGTCAGTTCAACCACTTCCAAATGGCAATTACAGTGCTGTGGACATATCACAAGCTTAGACAGGCAAACTCAGACCCACGATGTTCCTATTGAAGTACTTGTCAACTGACTGAGGCATTGCATTGTAACTAGAGCAAATCTCAGAAACTTATGAGAAATCGTACTTTGAGAACTGTCATTAGTGGACCCCATGGCACTTCATAAATGTCCAAAACATCGGGGCCGGCTGCTAGGCTCGGTTGGGCAGGTGGGGGTGGGGGGGGGGGTTGGCTCACACCTTCAGGACGGGGTCAAGAGTCAGAAGGTCATGATTTTGAGCCCCTTTTCACACAAAGGGTGGTGGAAATCTGGAACTATCTGTTTCCCCAAAAGGCTGTGGATGCTGGATCCATTCAAATGTTCAAGACTGAGGTGGATAGATTGTTACTAGGTCAGGGTATCAAGCGATATGAGGCAAAGGTGGGTATTCGGAATGGCAGAACAGGCTCAAGGGGCTGAATTGCCTCCTCCCGTGCCTATGTTCCCCCGTCAGGATCTCCAGCTCAAAGCCTAGCCCGAAACTCTAGTAGCAACAAGGGAATATTGTATTTTCAGAGATGTTGCCCTTCGAATGAGACGTGAACTCAAGGTCCAGTCTGCCAGTTTTGGCTGATATTAATCTACTATTTGAAAAGAGAAGGGAGCTTCTCTAGGTATCCTGGCTAACACCCCCCCAGGTAAAATTGGTCACTCACTTCAAGGCTTTTCATCTTGGAGCCAGCTTGGAACCATGGAGACCCTGCTAACCTCTCTTCACCATCCTCCACCCCATCCCTACCCTTTACTCCATGGATGATAGTCAACATAAGGATATCATTCTGAGGAGTCCCTTCACTTATAACTTGTGCTAATTAACACAAGGATTGGGTTAATAATAATAAACTTTCCAGTTGATATAAAGCATTATCACGTCTTCACAGAGTATACTGTAAAGTGAATTGATGGTACGTTTTGTGTATATCGTGTGTATATGACTGTATATCTTCTTAAGAAACAAGATCACATTTTACCCAATATTCTTCCTAAGTGGGGCTGGTCTTTCAAGCATTGGGGGCATAAAGTTTCAGACACGTGAAATCAATTTGTCTCTTTTTGTCAAATATTTCAAGCCCAGGATAATTATTCAATGCCTGACTCTGAGACTTGCTCAGGCTAGTGGATGCAGCATAACTGGTTATTATTGAAACATTTATAGCTGCTGGCAATCAATTGCCGTCAATCTGTTTGCTCTTTTAATCTTTCTAAGACCGGAGGCCATCACACATTACATACTGATATACTGCTTTCATGCCCACCAGAATATATCAATAATTTGTTTTATTTTATTTATTACCTAATTAAATAGATTGCAACCAGTCTATCAAATCAATTTGGATTAACAGCTATCTGTGAAAAGTCACCAATTTAATTTAGTTTAACTTAATTTAACATGCACTTTGACATATACCAGTTAGCTGCCATTGTCTCCCAACAATTAGAGAATAATCACATAAGGTAAGAGGTAAGAGAAACGAGCATTGCTAAAATGACAGGTTTGTAATACGGATAAATGGATTAAGCAGTCACCTTTAACACAGACATACTGATCCGAATAATCCTTACATCGGATGTTGCGCTTTATCACATCAAAACATTTCAAAGCTCAGAGTTTTTCTTAAATTGTAGCGTCTGTGTATTTGTGGGCAAACATGACAGTCAATCTGAACACAGCTTTGTGAGTCGATTACCCCCATCCTTGCCTGGCTCACTGACTTCCCATACCCCAGAGGATTGAGTTCAAGATCCTTGTCCTCATCTTTAAAGCCCTCCACTTCTAGTTCCTACCTAGTCCTCTCCCTCCATGTCCCCCAGTCTGCCTGCTCCACTATCGTCAGTCAGGCCTTCAGCCTTTCTGCTCCCACCCTCTGGAACTCCATCCTGAGCTCCTCTGCCTTGCCCCCTCCCTTGCCTCCTTTAAGGCCCATCTCAAGACTTTCCTTTTCAACCGTGTTTTCAGTCACCTTCTCTCCTCCACTCCACTTCCCCTCCACCCCTCTCTGATCCTAACCCCAGCTCGAGTGCAAACCCCTCATTATCCATCGCCTCGGGACGTCCTCCCGACATGAAAGACAACAACAACAACGAGATACGATGGAGGCGAGGCCTTGGAGGGGTTTTTAACATGAGGATGAGAATTTTGAAATTGATCCACAGAGGGATGGGGAGACAAATGGAGCCTAGTGAGTATAGGCTTGATGGGGATGATAGGGTCACAGAGC